TGTACCGATTGTAGCAACCAAGTTGATCCTGGAAGTCTAAGTGGCAAAGACGCGATAAAATACAGAAAGAAAAATGTGAGAAAAGAGGGCAAGAGTGAGACTAGATGTTACGGTCCATTAAGTCATATAGGTCTTAACTCAACACTGCGGCAGAACTTCGTCAGTATGGCCTAGAAGTGGCCATCTTTGGGAAGAATTGATAATTCTCTAACACTGGAAAGGCATGGTCGAAATGCCTAAAGCCTATGCTAACGCTATGGGGATAACCATTAAGATGATAATCTTTTCAGGGGAAAAAAAGCGAGCGTTAGAATCACCAGCAGGTTGACCACTAGGTGATTTGGCATTGGTCAAAGCAGCTGGAAAATTTCCGGCTGCATGAATCGGACTATGAGTTAGAGCAGATCGAAGTGTTCCAGGTTTGACTCATCGACGACTTCTAAGGATGGTTATTGCAGATAAGAGGCATGTAACTCGGATGAAAATAAGTAAATTATTGAAAACTGATAAGGTAGGTGTCTTGGAAAGGAGAAACTAACGTAGTAAACAATTTATAAAAATTAGCAAATTTGAAAAAAAATGTTTCGGTCCATAAAGTCGTATAAGTTCCTTGCCGGTACCTCAATTGGGCCTCGCCAGTATGGCGGTTGTGGTAAAGTATAGTTTGATTTTGGAGGGATTATTATTAAGGCTGAGGTCTTAATAATAATCCCTTTCACAATCGAGAAGCTCCACTTTTTCGACAGCCCAGGCGATTTTGGTGATCCTGATTTCGTCGTCTTCTTTTGTTGGTTTTTCAGATCCAGATGTTAAAAAAAGCCTCAAAATCGTTTAATTTCTATTATAGGTGAATTTTAACGAGCCACTTTCCGTGCTGCAAAGGATTTCTGAAGATCTCGAATATTCATATCTGTTAGATGAGGGTGCTGAAAAAAATGATTCGCTGGAACAAATGTGCTTTGTGGCCGCATTCGCGATCAGCGCTTATTCAACAACTGGTTATCGTACAACGAAACCGTTTAATCCATTATTGGGTGAAACATTTGAATGTGATCGATTTGCAGATCTCGGTTGGCGATCTCTTGCTGAGCAGGTCACTGGTTTTTTTTTTCTTGGCCTTCACAGTGGTGATGAAGAAACGTAATCCTGAAGCAAAATGTATTGGTACCA